TGTTGTTTACTTTGTGCTAACAGTGCCGGAGCTTTGGCAGCTCACCTTTGACCTGCTGGAATTTATCCTGATCTGTCGTTGCCATTACCTCCAGGGGTCGCTGTTGGATGGCAGCTGGTTCAGGCCCTCCGTGGGTGGCTGCAGAGTGTGCCGGCCCAGCCCACGCAGCTGGTTAGCTCCACTCTTACTTGGTTTTCTAAGGGGCTTTGCCCAAAGAAGTCTTGAGGGATAGGGCCCTCGATCTTGCATACTTGTGAGGTGCCACCTCAGTAGCTCATACTACCTCACCCTGCTCAGGTGAGCTCTGGGAGTCCCTGGCTTCAGCCCTGACACTGCCTCTGGTGGGATTCAGCAGCACCCCGGGCTGTTTCACAAGCAATTAGTTTTCATTAACTCACAAAGCCTTTTTGGACATTAATATTTATTTATTTTTGTTTTTGTATACACATTACCCAGCATGTCTTTTGTATAAGAGACTTTAGGAAAATGAGTTTTTCCCCAGCAAGTAGCCATATTCTAGAAAACAGCCTTGACCAGAGATTTGGAGAACCAGGGGTATAACTAAGGGAGGACGTGTCAAGCCCTTAAGTAAATTCTTTTCTTCTCCAGATTATATCTAGCATAATAAACCCAGGGAACACTTTAGGCCATGGGTGTATGTTCTAGAAAGTTCGGGCCAGTTAATTCCAGGCCTTTCAACCCCTTTCCATCCTGTGATGGAGTAGATTGGGGACAGGGTTGAGGGGAGCAAGTGACATGAGGGACCTATTTGCACAGTTTGGAAGCCTCCTGTCCTTATTTATATTGAGATGTCAGACAAACCAAAGCTCCATCCCTGTTGGACCTGCTGCTTCTCCCCAGCCCTGAACTGATAAAGCCTCAGAGTCGGAGTGCATGGCTGTCTGGTGTGGTGACCATTAGATGAAGGGACTTGTACAGTGGCCAGTTTAAAGGTCCACTTTAGACCATCTACACCCACCTTGTTCAGTGTCCCCTCAGGACATCCTCATCAGGAAAGCAGTGTTGCGACTCTTCTTTGCTGACTGGCTTCTCCCTTTCTTACTCACACTGACCATTAGAATTAAGAAGGAGATGTGTAACAGACTACAATCAAGTGTCTGCTACATTTTCAAGCATGAGCAGTCCCTCCCAGACTGTTGGTGAGGACTGATTTTTGAAATGCTGGCGTGAGAGAGGTGGTAATTACTAGAACCAGCCAAGTGGCTGAGAGCAGATACATGTGCTGGAGAAACCTTTTTCCTTAACAGAGGGCATCATGGGTGCTGGGTGGTCTGTGTACTTAACCTGAAACTGTGAAGTTTTCCTTTTTTGCCAGTAAACCAAAAAGCAGATCCTTGAAACTGTGCCCTTGAAACATGAGACAGAAAACTGCATCCCCTGATCCCCCTGGGGCTGATCAGATTGATCAGGGTGGCCCAGTTGGTCCCAGTCAGATATGTCATAGGATCAGTAGCTTATGAGATTTGTTGACCAAACCCTCTCCCGGTTGGGGACCCTTATATTCACACCTGAACTTCCCCGTTTCCCTCCACCCCGCCAAAGTCATGTCTGCTTCCTCTGCCTCTAGCTCACCCTCTTCTGAATGGTTTTACTTGAAACACTATATTGTGGCATAGGGCACCCTGGGATACCTGGTAGAAGGTATTCATTTTATTTTGCATTTTTAATTGTTTTGACTTTCCGTTCATTTGATTTTGTTGCTCCCTCTCTCCTGGAGCCTAGTTTAGTACTGTCTTCTGTGTTACTCTGAAGTTCTGTTTAAGCCTTGAACATCCTCTTCTCCTGTTTTCTTGGTATGTACTCAGGACCAGCTACATCATTTGTGGAGCTCTCTTATTCACAAATTATTAAGAATGATCATAGAGCATTAAACCAAATATGAGGCCATTCCCAACTTGTTTTCTGAGGGGAAAATGGTAATACTTGTGTGGTACCTGGGGTTAAACAGCAGAGGCTCCATGTGGCCAGAGGCAGAGATTAGTATCCTGGCACTCCAGTGACCCACTGGTGACTTACTGATGCCATAGCACCTGCTGGGAAGCTCTGCTAAACCTTAGTATTTGGTCCTAAATTTTATGACTCCATGGAGTTCTCATCGTCCATGGCTAATTAGGAAGAAAGGAGGTGGGATAGGGGTCAGGCCCAGGTGACCTTTAAGAACCAGGAGATGGGTAAAAGTTTTTTTTTTTAATATCCTTCTTTTCTGAGCTATGAGTACCTGTTTGTCTCCAGGCCAAACCTTTGGGCTTAAATACCTTTTTCCTAGACATGTTTTTGCTAGTGTTGAATTTTCTTCCTCCTCTGGCCTCCTGTGGCCCTTTCCCCAAGCCCCAGACTACTTCCAAAGCAAATTCTAGATGGACACTGTATTTGTTGGTATGGGAGTGGGCTCTGTGGAGTGGTCTGCACCCATCTGGGACTCTTTTCCCTAAATCCTGCACCAAATGAGTCAGGAGGCAGGGTGCACAGCATTAGTTTCAGTGTGGTTATGCATCATAAGCTTAACATCAGAATGAAAATGAAACTCGATTTTGGTGTTTCTTTAAAATCCTTCCCCTGTTCAATCCACTCGCCGCCCCCACCTTGAATAGCTAAAGTCTCTTACGAAACAGAGAAGAGTTGTTGACGTCTAACTCCTTCCATTAAATTAATAAGTACTGACCTCCTAATATTTAAGTGTTTACTATCTATTGCTGTAAAGTTTTGTATATTTTGTAAACTTTTTTCCCCAAATAGTAGATGTCTAAAATCATTGTACATCTGATTCTTTTATATTCCATTGTTCAGCACAAAGTGTGGTTTTTATTTAGAATAAAAAAAGAAATTTGAAATGAGAGTTCTCTTCCTACCTACTATGAATATGCTCATACCTGGAGTTCAGAATATCTGGGCTCATCACCCTTTCAGTAGCACATTTCTGCCCAGCAGATGCCAGAATTCTTTCAGGTAGCACATTTTCCTTTTCTGTAGCTGGAATTCCCCAGGATTAACTTGTTGACCTGTTTTTAGTGGGAAATTAAGTCAAAGACTCAACCTTTTCAGGGGGTATTCCTGAGAGGATCCTCCGTCAGCCCAGAGAGAGTGGTGGGTCCCTGCCCGTGTCTACTTGGACTAATGTTACTAAGTGAGAGATTTGGCTACAATTTGTTTTGCCAATGCCATTTGATTTGCTGGGACATGGTGTGTCTTTGAGTGGAGCGAGACAGATTGAAAGAGGGAGGAGGCAAAAGTTTGGCATAGTTTAATGAGGTTGATATACGGGTGTTTCCACAGAGGAGACAGACCTCAAGAAGTTAGGGAGTGATGTCCATTTGGCCCCAGAGCACATGGCCCAGGCGGGGCTCCCATCAGTGCTCAGTAGATGCTGAGTGTAACAGCTGGTTACCACTCTTCCCCTCCATGGATGGGAGGCCTTAGGGAAGTATTCATACTGCCAGGGTGATAACTAATCTTGGGAGAGTGGCCTCTGAGGTGACCTGCAATGTGACAGAGATGTAAAATTAGGTTTCCTTTGGGAAACAACTGTAGCCCACGTCAGAGGAGGCAGTGATAGGGGCATCACATCTTGGCTTACTTCTTTATGTTGGGACAAGAGAGGAAAGTCTTTTTCAGTGTGAATTCTGCATTGGTAGGCTAAGCCCTTACTGCGACCCAAGCCACAACCCAGACTCCTGATTCAAAAAGCCTTCAGCTCTGTGCTACTGAGCAGCTGTCTGCAGCATAAGACCCTTTCAGGTTTGGGCCCAGTGAGCAGGGAGATGCAGGTTTCCTTCCATGCTCCTGACAAACCTGGGTGCGTATGCAATTGGAGCACGTGGTCAGTGCATCCACAGAACAGGTCTGATTTCTCAAAGCAGAACAGGTGGTCTCCAGGTCAGTGAGTAGTTGCTCCAAGTTAAACATTCCAGATACATCAAGCACTTGAGCAGGACAGAGGAGATGGCGAAGAGGCTATCAGTGATTCTAGTCCCCTCACCATGGGCAGGATTAAGAGGCAAAGGATGTGGAATTGGAAGGCGGAAACTAGATCCTGTTCTTAGGCCTTTACTTCAGAGTTCTTCATGGACAGGGTCCTAGTCTCCCAAACATAAGTGATCCTTTTCCAGAAGATCTACTTGTTAACAGAGGACTTCTTTGCTTCATCTGTAGAAGAAGTGTTAAGGAACCTAAGTTGTGGGACAGGAAAATGATGAAAAGACATGGCCAGGGAGAACTGACTTGTAACAGTGTCAGAGCTCTGCCCTGTGACGGAATTGAGAAGTTTCCACTGTGGCCTTCCCCATCTGGTGCTGGGGACAGAGGGTGAAGGACAGAGCATCTGTCAGCACCTGCTGCTGGCTGTCCCAAGGGCTGCTCCCAGAATGAGATCCCTTGATACTTTCCTATGATCTGGAGAGAAAGAGATGGGGGTGGGTTGGGCTTTCTGGTAGCTCTGTGTCTCCCTAGAAGAAGTCTGGAAGTTTCCTAGATCCGAAGCTGGGAGGAGGTCAGCTATGAGGAGCTGACTCTGGGACAGCTCCTCTGCTTGTGGGGAGGGAGCAGGATGGACAACGGGGAGGGGAGGGTGTCAACAAGGAAATGGAGCTGTGTTTCCTGGATGGCCGAGGGTGGAGATACCCTGCAGCTGACCCAGCTGCAGGGTGCAGGTCTCAGACCTTGGCTTTGCCCCCACCCCTGACATCCCCATCCCCCTTCACTTATCATAGCTGTGCATAGGATGCACAGCTGGAGAACGTCCTGCTGGGGTCGCCTGGTTCCTTGGCCTCTGGCCTCTTGTCCCCATAACCTGCATAGTGAGCTGGAAGATCAACAAGCTCACAAACACAAAAGGAGTTTTGTGACGTTCTTGCAGAGCTCACTCTTTCCGGCCAGAGTGATTTATGAAATGAATGTGTCTAGTTTCCTCTGTCGAGCACCTCTTTAGCCTCAGCTCCCTTCCCAATCCCAGCTGGAAGTGCAGATTTTTAAAAGATCCAGAGTCCATGACTATCTCTCCCATTTATTTCACCTTTTTTTCTGCATGGCTCCTTAGACACAAGGACCAAGACAAATAGTACAACACTGAGGGCCTGCTCTCTATCCCTCCCGACCCTGTCTCCCTCTCCATACCTCTGTATTTTAAGATAGACACAAATTTGACCCTCCCCTCTACATCCCCCCAAATCTCCCACCTATACTCTCACCTGTGTCTTTTCCTTCACTGTTGGAGGAGCCTGGCCTCTACCTCAGCTGGATGTAAGAGGCTGAGGGGGAGAGAAGGGGGAAGTATTTGGAAGCAAAGGGGATGCCTGAAAGCTCAGGCTTGGCTCGGGGTGGGGGGTTGCTGCAGCAGGCTGGCTGTCCCCCTTGGTGATGATGATGGAATGCTGGGTGGAACAGGAGGAAGAGGAGGAGTGTGCGCCTGCCCTGGTCTGGTCCTTAGGAAGGTAATGGACTACAGCGTTCAGGAGCCGGCCCCGGAAGTGTGGGCTGAGAAAGTTGTAAAGGATGGGGTTGATGACACAGTGCAGCATGGAGAAGCAGTCGATGACATCATAGAAGAAGTAGAGCAGGTGGACCAGGTGGCAGTGGAGGGAAATGTGGGTCCCATGCAGTGTGAGCAGCAGCAGGGTCACATGATAGGGCAGCCAGCAAATGACAAAGACGGCCACGTAGGCACACATCAGCAGGCAGTGGCGCCGGCTCTTGGGTTGTTCTGGCTGCCGCAGCCGGCAGGCCGTCAGCACGTTGAAGACTGCGATAAGAGGGAAGGGCAGCAGGAAGCCCAGGATGGTGGTGGACAGGGTCACCGCCAGGGCCCAGGTACTGTACGTTTCAAAAGGTGCCATGAAGAGGCACATGGGCTCAGGGCCCTCCACCAGCTGGATGTGGACCACCTCAGGTAGCGGGATGATGGCCGAGAGGACCCAGATGCCCGCACACATGGCCCGCCGCACTCGGTGCTGGTAATGCTGCCAGGAGGGGGAGGCACTGGTGAGGGTGACATAGCGGTCGACGCTGAGGCACACCAGGAAGAAGATGCTGCTGTACATGTTGACAAAGTAGAAGTAGTGAGTGAAGCGGCAGGAGAAGCTGCCCCAGAGCCAGGTGTAGTCCAGCGTGACCTCCAGCATCCACACGGGCAGAGACAGGACAATGCCCAGGTCCGCGATGGCCATGTTGAGGATGTAGAGGTTCAGCAGCCCCGCCCGGCCTGAGCCGCGCCAGTTGACGCATATCACCAGGAGGTTCTCCACCAGCCCAACCACAAACATGGCCAGGTAGAGGGCAAAGAGGACCACGCGCTTGGTGCTCTCGCTGAGCTCCACATGGCACTCAGACAAAGTGTGGTTGAAGAGGTCGAGCAGCTCGGTCCAGTTGTGGATATCTCCAAGGTCACTGGCAGGCACTGCGGTGACCCCCTCCGAGGGGCCGGGCCCCCAGCTGGGTTTCACTGACATTGGGACCAGCACACACCTATTGGGATGAAAGGAGGGTTGGAAGGGAAAGCAGACCTTGAGAGCCTTGTGTCCTCAAGGTAGAGGCCAGAGGGAGTCAGGGGCTTTGGGGAAAGATTCTGGGGCTGATGAGGCAAGAAAGGGAAGTTTAGCTTTCAAACTGTGAATAAATAATACACAACTTACTTGCTAGCTCTGACCCAAGAGCAGAGATACTTTCTTAAGGGGTTTCAGGTGGAAGAGGCCAGGGCTGTTGGTGTCCACCAACATTTCTTCCCACCCCCAGACAGTTCTCCCTCAACAACCCCCTCAATGCCCCCACACCCGCCATTCCTAGGTGGTCTCCAACCTCCACCTCTCTCCTGGCACTTCATTCCTCAGCCCTTTTGCACAGATCTTCATTGCTCTTTTTCTGTCTCGTTATTTGGACCGTGAGTGTGGAACACACACACACACACGCACACCACACACATCTGAATCACCCCTAGGAAAACCTGTGGATCACACGGGAAAGCCAGTTGTCTCCAAGCCCTGATTCCCATCTTCCCTGGGAGAGGGCGACACTCACCTGAATTTCCCTTGGGAGCCCCGCCGTCCTGGAGGGAGGGCCGGCAGGTCCAGGCTGTGGGGAGCTGTGAGGAGGCTGGAGGGCCCTTGACTGTGGGGCTGGCTTCCGTGCTGGCTTCACGGCCGCCCTTCCCATCCGGGAAGTAGCTGTCACTGCTGAGGCTCTGTGGAGAAGGCGGGGGTTTTTCCTGCATTCCCCCAATCCGGTTACAGGGGACGTCCCAGCAAAAGACCTGGTGTGCCAGTGGCAGGGAGGTCATACTGCCAGCATTAAAATCCCAACTCCTCCCTCACTCGCTGAATGAATTTACCTCTTTCCTTAGCCTCAGTGCTCTCCTCTGCAAAGTGGGGTCAACAATATTATCTACTAAAAGGGATGCTGTGAGAATTAAAGGAGCTGTTGAGGGAAGGAAAGTGCTTAGCTCAGGCCGGGCCTGTGGCAAATGCTTCACATATATATGTATTTTCCTCTCCCTAAGTCAACTTGGAATCCCTCTCTCCACTGTCTTTTTTTTTTTTTTTTTGAGACAGAGTCTCGCTCTGTCGCCCAGGCTGGAGTGCAGTGGTGCTATCTCGGCTCACTGCAAGCTCTGCCTCCTGGGTTCACGCCATTCTCCTGCCTCAGCCTCCCCAGTAGCTGGGACTAGAGGCGCCCGCCACCGCGCCCGGCTAATTTTTTTTGTATTTTTAGTAGAGACGGGTTTTCACCATGTTAGCCAGGATGGTCTCGATCTCCTGACCTCGAGATCCGCCCGTCTCGGCCTCCCAAAGTGCTGGGATTACAGGCTTGAGCCACCGCGCCCGGCCTCCCCTGTCTTAATTCCTACTAGAGTGAAATTGGATGTGGAGGTGTAGGGGAGGGTTAAAATAAATCTGAAAATCAGTTGGGCTTTTAATGACTCTGGCCCAACCCTGCCATTCTCCCCAGCCCCTCACAGGGCTGTGAGCTCCCTGCCTTCATCTTGTGACTGGAGGTGAGAATCTGGGGAGAAAGGTAAGATTAAATGGCTGGGCATGGTGGCTCACACCTGCAATTCCAGCACTTTGGGAGGCTGAGGCAGGAGAATCGCTTGAGCCAGGAGGCAGAGGTTTCAGTGAGCTGAGATCAGGCCACTGCAGTCCAGCCTGGGTGACAGAGTTAAAAAAAAAAAAAATTGGCCGGGCGCGGTGGCTCAAGCCTGTAATCCCAGCACTTTGGGAGGTCGAGACGGGCGGATCACGAGGACAGGAGATCGAGACCATCCTGGCTAACACGGTGAAACCCCGTCTCTACTAAAAAATACAAAAAACTAGCCGGGCGAGGTGGCGGGCGCCTGTGGTCCCAGCTACTCGGGAGGCTGAGGCAGGAGAATGGCGTGAACCCGGGAGGCGGAGCTTGCAGTGAGCTGAGATCCAGCCACTGCACTCCAGCCTGGGCGACAGAGCGAGACTCTGTCTCAAAAAAAAAAAAAAAAAAAAATTGAATGTGGGGTGTCAAGGGGGCTTTGTCAAAGCTTCAGGGAGATTCCTAAATGGGGAGGGAGAGAGAGAATGGCGCCCTCCCCCTGTGGCTCTATACTTCTCTGCGTGAAGGGTGTGGTGGGTGGCTGGCAGGGAATGAGCAGGGAGTGGGGTGTGGGGGAGGGAGAGCAGACTTGTCTCTCCGTCCAAACTAGTGGGTAAGGGATTCTGAGCTGCATGTTATGGGTGAACATTGTGTGTCAGCAGAGCGTCCTGCCTCTCAGAGGGCTTTCACCTCACTTCATACCGTTTGATTCTGGAGATATCCCTCTGGGGAGGATGGATTTCTTCACCCTCTTTGAGGCCCAGAGAGGTTGTGTGTTACACAAGCCACACTTGGCAGATGGCAGAGCTGCCTAGGCCTGAGCCAAAGGTGTGTCGCCTGGAGGGGATTGAGTATATATTAAGTCGAGGTGAAATTCCCATAGCATAAAATTAACCATTTAAAAATGTGTGATTTAATGGCATTTAGACATGCACATTGTGCAACCACCACCTCTGTCTAAGTGCTAAACATCTTCATTACCCCCAAAGAAAACCCTATAACCATTAAGCAATCAATCCTATTCCCCCGCCCCCAACCTTCTGCTACCTGTCCCTATGGATTTACCTTTTCTGGATACTTAATAGAAAGGGAACCATATCATATGTGACCTTCTGTGTCTGTTTTTTTTTTTCACTTAGCATGTTTTCAAGGTTCATTCACATTGGAACATGCATCCGTACTTCATTTCCTTTCATGGCTGAGTAATATTCCCTTATGTATGTGTGTATATATATACACACACACACCACATTTTATGCACTCAAAGAGAATATTTTTTAAAAGTTTGCTAATTGATTCTTTTATTATGGTAAAATATACATAAGATTTACCATGTTAACCATTTTTAGGTGTACAGTTCAGTGGCACTAAGTGCATTTACACTGCTGTGCAACCATCAGTGCCATTTATCTCCATTAAAGGGGACATTTTTAATTTTGCAGTTTTCTTAAACCTTCCACTTACATATCAGATCGCTCTGAGATCACAAAATCTATCATGGCCGGTGCAGTGGCTCACACCAGTAATCCCAGCATTTTGGGAGGCTGAGATGGGAAGACTGCTTGAGCCCAGGAGTTTGAGACCAGCCTGGGCAACAAGACGAGACCCCCATCTCTACAAAAAAATAAAATAATTAGCCAGTTATGGTGATGCAGTCTGTACTTGGGAGGCTGAGGTGGGAGGATCACTTGAGACTAGGAATTCAAGGCTGCAGTGAGCCATAATCACACCGCTACACTGAAGCCTGGGCAAGAGAGCTAGATCCCATCTCTTAAAAAAAAACAAAACAAACAACAACAACAACAACAAATCATGGGCTAGGCTAGGTGGCTCATGCTTGTAATCCTAGCACTTTGGGAGGCTGAAGTGGGCGGATCACCTGAGGTCAGGAATTCGAGACCAATCTGGCCAACATAGTGAAACCTTGTCTCTACTAAAAATGCAAAAATTAGCCAGGCATGGTGGTGCATGCCTGTAATCCTAGCTACAGAGTAGGCTGAGATGGGAGAATCTCTTGAACCCAGGAGGCAGAGGTTGCAGTGAGCTGAGATCACGCCACTGCACTCCATCCTGGGCCATGGAGTGAAACTCTGTCTCAATAAAACAAAACAAAACAAAAACAAACCATCATGATGAACCACGACAGTGTAAAATGTTGTTTACTTCAATTTTTCAGTTAGTTTTGCTCTCATTTTCTCTCTAGGATCTTAGTTTCTATCCCACTGATATTTTTCTTCAGTAAGGAGCCTTCTGAGAATTTCCCCTTCCCACTACATGCTTTTGACCCATGCAAATGAAGCCTATCCTAGACCAAGCACCCTCCAAGGAAGACCCTGGTCTGGACTTGGTCCTCTCCAGATGGCCACATCTGTGACCATTTCTGTTCCTCACAAGACTGCCCTTTAGTGGCTCCTATCTCCTGGGTCTCTGAATTGTCCTTCCCACATGGAGACATCCCCCGTGCAGCCTCACCTCTACCTGCTCCCTGCTCCCACCTACTCCTGTCGCCCAATGTGTATTTGTAGAAAGAGGAAGTGATGGTGGTTCCTTCTGGCAGAAGGGAAAGCTCCTCCCTCAGGAAGAAATAAGTGATAGCTCTGCAGTTTTCATGTGGGGCTTTTTTAGGGGGTGGGGGTGCAGCTGGAAAGAGAGAGACTGAGAGGAAGAGAAAGAGGGAGGAGCAGGAGGCCAGGCTCCTCGCCAACCTGGGCAAAAGGAGCAGGCCAGCAGCTTTGCCCTATGCAGCAGGAACAGCAGCAGTGAAACAATTCCTGGAAATTTACTCTTTCTCCTCCCCGCCCCACTTTTTTCCCCAAAAAAGTGTAGACAAGACTTTGTGATCAACAATCAGAAAGGAAGGAAGGTACCAGGGAGGAGGTATTGAGAGGCAGAGATAAATACAGACAACTTCCCAGAGTTGGGTCGGGAAAAGGGCTGTGCCTGGACCCTGGCAGAAGGGATGAGGCAGGCTGTCCCAGGGATCAACCCACGTGTCTGACTTACCGGTGGAGGCAGGTGCCTTGTGGACAGGTTAAGGCTGAGGCATTTGGCAGTGATTGCACTCGTGTCCACAGTGTGAACTTCCAGAAGGCTACTGAGTCAGGAAGCCAAGTCTAGTCGTGGAGGTTGCTCTGCCCTCCTGCCACAGCTTCCCCAAGCTAGAGAGGCATCTGGTTTGCCCACCAGTACCAGATTGATTAGGAGCTTTCTAGTCTCCTCAAAGCCTGTGCCCCACTCCCCTGTCCTTGGCTCTCTCTGCTCAGTTTTTCCCTGTTCACCGGGTCTTTACAAGACACTGTGGAGATAACACCAGTTTTTGAATCAGACCTGTTTTTGACACTTTTTTCCACCACTTGGTAGCTGTGTGATCTTGGGCAGGTCACTTAACCTTTCTGAATCTCAGTTTATTTTCTTTTGTTTTTGTTTTTTTAAAATATTTATTTGTACAGATTGATGTGGTGCATGTGCAGTTTTGTTACATGTATGGGTTATCCATCACAAGAATAACATGCATTGTACCCATCGACTAGTTTCTCATCATCCACCCACCTCCTATTCCCTCTTCCTTCCAAGTTTCCACTGTTTACCATTTCACTCTCCACATCCATGTGTACACATCTTTTAGCACTCACATATGAGTGAGAACATGCAATATTTGATTTTCTATGCCTCATTTGTTTTACTTAAAATAATGATCTCCAGTTCCATCCACATTGCTGCAAAAGACATAATTTCATTCTTTTTAATGGCCAAATAGTATTCCATTGCGTATATATACCTCATTTTCTTTATCCTTTTATTCGTTGATGGACGCTTAGGTTGATTCCATGTCTTTGCTATTGCGAATAGTGCTGTGATAAACATACTAGTGCAGGTGTCTTTTTAATGTACTGATTTCTTTCCCTTTGAGTAAATACCCAGTAGTGGGATTGCTGGGTTGAATGGCAGTTCTACTTTTAGTTTTTTGAAAAATCTGCATACTGTTTTCCATAGAAGTTGTACTAGTTTGCATTCCCACCAGCAATGTCTAAGAGTTCTCTTTGCTCCACATCCTTGCCAACATCTTTTTTTTTTTTTAATCTTTTAATAGTAGCCATTCTGACTGAGGTAAGATGATATGGCATTGTGGTTTTTATTTGCATTTCTCTGATGATTAGTGATGTTGAGCATTTTTTCATGTATCTGTTGGCCATTTGTATATCTTCTTTTGAAAAATGTCCATTCGTGTCATTTGCCCACATTTTAGTGGGATTATTTGTGGGTTTTTTTTTTTTTCTTGCTCGAGTTCTTTGTATATTCTGGATCTGTCCCCTGTCAGATGAGTAGTTTACAAATATTTTCTCCAATTCTGCGGGCTTCATTCTGTTGCTTATTTCTTTTGTTGTGCAGAGCTTTTTAGTTTAAGTCCCATTTGTTTGTT